CGAACTATCTTTTAAAACACACAATATTTTGTATTCATTTCTCTCTATAACTGGAAAATACCAAACTACTTATGTAAATTAACTTAAGTGAGCACGGGGAAGCTAGGTTTCCGTTTTTCAAAGGCAAATTGACAATTATCCTTTGTGGTCCGCTACTTTAAAATTTTCAAAAAGTATTAAAAAGAAAACTAAAATGTTATGTACAGTCTGTCAAAATTAAACGTTCGCCAATTTTGGCCTAACAAACAGGCTCAAAAATCGCTTTAAAATAAGCTGATCTGAAAATACTCTTCGTCTTGAAGTTTTAACTTTAATGTAGACAGTCGGCGACCTTGAAAATCATAATTTTTAATTTTGTCTTTAACCATCGAATATGTCCATTTTTAGGACTTTTAAGACATTATCGCTTATAATTCGAAAATGGTCAAGTTTATAAAAAAATTATTTGAGACCCCTTTGGTTCAAAATGAAGAAAAATCGCCGTAGGGAAAAAGGAATTTTTTTTTTAAATTAGGAGCATTGCCAGATTATGGCAGACGAGTTTAAATGTATGGTAGGCTGATTATGGAATTTGTATCTTTAGAAGAAATTTAGTGAAAAGGTGGAGAACTTGTTTGTCTGCTACAGTTAACATACTTATTCCAAACTGATCAATGGATGGCTTCCACGATCATCATTTTTTACATATTACACGAGACGAAAACCTCTCATTTGGTTTCCAAACCCATTTTTTTTTCACAAGCACGTACATATGTTGAATATCCTTAACATGAAACAAGGTGAACTCGGATCAAGTTTAGACTTTTTTTAATTACTTACAAGAAAGTGTTTTTTCGATACAACACGTATTTTTCAGGTTTTTTATTCTGAATAAAAGAGGCCTCAGGTAAATTTTCTTTTCTCTAAAATTGACCTAAAAATGAATGTATTCAATGCTCAAAAACTCGGTTAAAAATTATAATTTTTCAGATCACCAAGTATAAAAATTAAAGTTAGAATCTTCATCTACAAGATCCTGAAGAGTATTTTATAATTAATTTACTTTGGAAGGCCAAAACTTTTATTTTCATAGACTGCTGTACATCGCTCAAAATGTATAATTGAAAATTCAACTTTTTACATTGTGATGACAATTCACGGTTTCTAAAACATCATGACTATGAAAGTTGGACATGTCACTCCAAGATTGCTTTAGGCAAAATTATGAAAACATTCAGAATAGGCGACTTCATCTGTTCTGGATATTAACGATGAAATGGAGTTTCCAATATTGTGGCTACATACTTCTACTTTCTACTTTAATTCGTATATGCAACTCACGAATCCACCAACTTTATTCGTTTACAGCTGCAAACAAATTTAGTTTTGAATTATCTTATTTGGTGCTCGCCACTATTAAAGGGTATTATGATGTAGTTTTTCTTTGTCTTAACACAAAGATTCTTGGTTCCTGGCTTTTCAGAATAAATTTAAAAACACCAAATTGATAACAGTCTATATTAACCGGACTATTTTCCACTTGAACTATTCGAGAAAAATTGCTTATTCTCAGTTTTTCGTAGGTATCTTAAATGACAAACTAGAATAAAGAATTTGTCCTTTATAAGCTCAATTTGAATGTTGACGTCTGGACCGAGATCGTCTGAGGTAGTTTATCTCCTTGTAGCGCCGGAAGTACCTAGCCGGAAATACCTTGGTTTCTTTGCCACGCTGTAAAGCAATTATATCGTAGGATTGCGTTCACGACTCTGAGATTGAAAAGGTTCGTATAGCTGCGAGCTATGCGGGATTTATTTCCTGAAAATAACCGCGTCGAAATTTTGTTCCTGAGAGGAATGTTTCCCTACCGCCCGAAAGTAAAACCGAACCTGATGACATTAGACTTGAATTGAAATCCGGATAATAAGCGACGCTGGTATGAAAAATGCGTCAAGTAGACTTGCTCAAACTCTCACGTACGAATATAAAATTCTTGCGAGTTATGGACATATATATTTTGATACTATTAAAAGTTATTAAAGAATACGTTGAAATTTAACTTGACTTCAACTCCTGAAAATAAGAGACTCTGGTATGAAAAAATGCGTCAAGTAGACTCGCTCAAACTCCCACTTACGAATATAAAATTCTTTGCGTGTTATGCACATACCATTTTGATACTGTTAAGAGTTATTAAGAGACGTTGACATTAAACTTTAATTGAAGTCCGGAAAACAAGAGACTCTGGTATGAAAAAATGCATCAAGTAGACTCGCTCAGACTCCCACGTACGAATATAAAGTTCTTTGCGAGTTCTTGCACATACAAATGTTGATACCATTAAAACTTATTAAAGAATGCGTTGACATTTAACTTGACTTCAACTCCTGAAAATAAGAGACTCTGGTATAAAAAAATGCGTCAAGTACACTCGCTCAAACTCCCAAGTATGAATATAAAAATTCTTTGCGAGTTATGCACATACAAATTTTGATACTATTAAAAGTTATTAAAGAATACGTTGACATTTAACTTGACTTCAACTCCTGAAAATAAGGGACTCTGGTATGAGACAATGCAAGTAGACTCGCTCAGACTCCCACTTACGAATATAAAATTCTTTGCGAGTTATGCACATACAAATTTTTATACGTTAAGAGTTATTAAAGAGACGTTGACATTAAACTTTAATTGAAGTCCGGAAAACAAGAGACTCTGGAAGGAAAAAATGCGTCAAGTAGACTCGCTCAGACTCCCGCGTACGAATATAAAATTCTTTGCGAGTTATGCACATACAAATTTGGATACTATTTAGAGTTATTAAAGAGACGTTGACATCAAACTTGAATTTTAAGTCCGGAAAATAAGCGACTGTGGAATGAAAAAATTCGTCAAGTAGACTCCCTCAAACTCCCACGTATGAAATTCTTTGCGGGTTATGCACATACAAATTTTGATACTAAGAGTTATTAAAGAGACCTTGACATTAAACTTGATTTAAGTCCGGAAAAGAAGCGACTCTGGTATGAAAACAATGCGTGAAGTAAACTCGCTCAAACTCCCACATACGAATATAAAATATTAAAATCCTTTGAATTTTGATTATTTTTAAGGGTTATTAAGAGGCTTTGACATTAAATTTGAATGTAAGTCCGAAAAATAGGCGGCTCTGGCATGAAAAAACGACGTCAAGTAGACTCGCTCAAACTACAAACTACGAATATAAAATTCGTTGCGGGTTATGCGTTATACAAATTTTGATACTGTTATTAAAGAGACCGTTGACCGGTCTGTCCCTCCGCGCTATTCTTGTAACCGTATAATTTTAGGAACGGCTGCTTGAATTTAACTGAAATTTGAAATGTAGGAAGTTGAATCATATAGTAGGAAATACTACTCCATTTTTGAAAATCGTCGAAGTTATGATTCATAAGGCTTCAGACGCTCTCAAATACCGTTTTTCTTTTTTCTACCAAGAGCTGAAAATTTTCAGGCAAAGTCGTATGTTTTTTTTAAATTTCAACATTTGCAATATTTATTATCCGTCGTTTTTCAAGTTGCTAGTCCCTTTAGGACATGGTTTAAAATATGCAATGGGCCTATAAAATTTAACAGGTCCCATTTTTATATAGTATATTGATACTAATAATAATACTTGAAGACTTTTTAAAATATCGGGATTTTAAATTTATTGCATATGAATGCGTGGAAAATATCGAGATAACGTCTATTTGAGCGCTATATTTTGACCAATCCCAAAGATTACCAAAAAGCCGAAAACACTTTCAATAATAGAGAATTTTTTTTATACAGGGTTATCCAAATTAAGTGTCCACCATTGGTAACTTGTTATTAGTAAAAATACAAAGTTGTTTAAATTAGCAAACTAGTAGCATTTTTAACGCTGGTAAAATGAGAAATAAAAAAAACAATTGAGAGTCGTTATTTTGATTTTTTTCAGTAAAATAAAGTCAAAATAACGATAAATATTTTTAATTATTTGCAGTATTATAATATTAAGACGGCTATGAAAACACATGGCGTTCGCGATTTGACAGCATTAAGATAAGCGACAAATTGTTAAACTGGACATACTCGCAACTAGAAGGCTTTGGAAAACAATGATAAAATCAAATAATGTCAAACATTAGTGTAAATACTGTTTATAAGTTTTATTGTGTCATTAATTTACAGAAAAATGTTCTCCCATGAAGAAAAGTGTGATATGTTAGAATGCTATTTAGTGTGCAGAAAATCCCTCCTTGAGAGCAAGAGATACAGTGAATTATATCCCGCTCGCATTCAACCGTATGAACGATATTTTCTGAGACTTTATCGAAAATTTAGGGGCAACGAAAATGTTTTTGCTAAAACAGGGCAAAGAAAGAATTCATAATAAGCGAGGCCGCGGAAATTGCAGTTATTGGATATTTTGAAGCTTATCGTGAGAATTCAATAGCAGATATTCTCAAGGACTCTAATTTTAGTTATGGTACTGTTCAAAGGATTTTAAAAAAATACAAATTTATTCCGTATAAGTACCGACCAGTTCAAACGCTTTTGGCAGGGGATCCAGAGAGAAGACTTGTTTTTTGCCATTGGTATCTTAGCTTCTGTCGCCAAAATGTAAATAACTTTCGTTACCTTTTATGGGACAGACGAATCAAATTTTTCAAATTCTGGAATGTTTAATAGAAAAAACCACCATTATTGGTCAAGAGAAAATCTTTGTTAGTACAATCCAAGAGGCCCACAAGTCCGTTTCAGTTTCAACGTTTGGTGCGGTATAATTGGTTCAAAAATTGTTGGCCCGTTCTTTATGAGGGAACCCTAACTGGTGAAAGATATGTGGAATTTATGTCAGAAATTCTGACTAATTTCTTAGACGAATTGGATTCTTATAAGTAGACATCATCTGCATTTTCAGCAAGATGGCGCACCTGCCCACAACTCCAGAGGTACTTATCATTTTCTAAGTACTACTTTTAATGATCAGTGGATAGGAACAAATGGCCCAATACAGTGGCCTCCCAGATCACCAGATCTAAACCCACTTGATTACTTCTTGTGGGGTTACTTAAAGAACCAAATTTACAAGCGAAGGTACGATAACCTTGACGCGTTAAAGACTGCAGTTAGGGAAAAGATAACCCAGATAGATGGTAGGACCATACTTAAGACAGTTCGAGAAGTTGAAAAACGTGCCCAAAATGTATTGAAGAACAAGGTGGTGTTTTCGAGCATCTTCTTTAAAAAAAATTGTTATTGTATTTTGTAAGATTATAAGTTGATGTTGAAAATAAAGTTTGTCGATACAATTTAATTGTTTCAGATTGGAGGCCATAACTTCAACAATTTGTAACCTAGGAAAAAAGTTATTGTAAGCTTTTTCGTTTAAAATTTGATGCTTTAACAGAAAAAAATATAATATACAGGGGTTTCCATTTAAAAAAAATGTTATTTACTGAAAAAAATCAAAATAACGACTCGCAATTGTTTTTTTTTTATTTCTCATTTTTACCAGCGTTAAAAATGCTACTAGTTTGCTAATTCAACAACTTTGTATTTTCACTAATAACAAAGTTACTAATGGTGGACACTTAATTTGGATAACCCTGTATATTCCAACTACCACGAAGGCCTAAGGCCTAAGCACCCATTGGGTACCGTGGGGCTATAGGGGATACATGGGAAAGGGGGGACGCCACACGAACTCTGGCGAGGGAACACGTGTGCATGCAACATGCACACATTCTGGCTCCGCCTACGAGAACCGCCGGGTGGTACCTCCGCGTTCGACAGTCAGAGACCATCTACCACCTACGGACAATCACGACATCCATAGCCAAGAGAAAAATTCTCCTGGGACGGGACTCGAACCCGCACAGCGCACGGCGACTGATCAGGAAACCGACGAGTCTACTACTGCGGCCACCGCTGCTGCCTAGCGCCAGTCTAGCCTATCGGGATTTTAAATTTATTGCATATGAATGCGTGGAAAATATCGAGATAATGTCTTTTTAAGCACTATATTTTGACCAATCCCAAAGATTACCAAAAAGCCGAAAACACTTTCAAACCAGATAATTGCTGTATTTGATCATTATCTCGTGTTTTATTGCAGATATTCCACGAATGCCTGAAATTCCACATATCCCTAAGTGAGTTAGAGACGCGAACGTTATGGTTGACAGTTTGGCATTCCGACATGTTCGGAAGAAACGATTCCTCGGAGAGGTCATGATGACTTTAGAAAATAAAGTTTTCGATGATCCTACTCCTAGGTGGTATCAGTTACAAGCAAGGGTAGGTACAGTAACTATCATTATTAATATTGAAATGTTGCCATCAATTCACAAAAAAAAACGAAAAAAAAACTTTTGTCGGCAGGATTCGAACTCAGATTCCCTCTAAAACTGCGACACCTTTATAGAGAAATGGTACAGGCGAATTGATGGTAGACAAAAAAAATCCTGCTAGGAGCCTGAAAATATATCAAGATGTTGTTTTTTCAGACGGAACCTTTTGAAGACGTCCAGTCGTACAAGGGTGATATAATAGTATGTTTGAAGTTTATTCCACCAGACATGACAAGCCACAAGAAGAAGAGGTCTAGAGGAGCCTTACATGTTCTGGTCAAAGAAGCCAAATCGCTAACGGGAGTCAAAGCCAACGGCACTTCTGATCCCTTCTGCAAAAGGTTGGTAAACTTAACTGATAATGGGACTTCGGGATTTACATTTGGCGCAATTTTCAACGACTTTTCTCAGATATTTATATTCTGGAGACGCAGGGGATTAAACACAGATCGTTTTAATACAGAGGAACGTATAAATCCTGCAAACGCACTAGAAAGGTCACTTCCATTTTTTATCAAGGTATGATGACGGTAAATTATATCGGCGCACGCAGGGCCCGTGCCCAGAGCTCCAGCTTGATGGGGGCCCCCCAAATGTCCAAGGATCAAACAAGATTATAAAAAATGACTGTGCACATTGTCTCTTGCTCTCCGATTTTTCTCAATAACATATATATATATATATATATATATATATATATATATATATATATATAACAAAAATAGGAAAATAATGGGCAAAATCCGCAAAAAGTGGATTTGAGCAGAATAGGATAGGTAACCCGAGCGATACGTATTTCTGCTGGTTGGCTTCATCAGGCCCGAAATGAATGCACATATGCAACTACAAAAGTAGAGACACATGCCTATACATCCGGATACGGGTGTAACCTGAGGAAACAAAGATGGAGAGGAAAAAAAAAGACACACGAAGTCCACAACAAGAGCCAACCTACACATTGTAGTATCAAATGGCTAGAAGACCTAGAATTTTCAAGGCGACAAATAACCACAACTACGCGGCCGGTTATGTTATAGCCGTGGTACTTCAAGCCCAAAGGATCTACAAAGAGTAAATTATCATGCGGAGAAGGTATATAACAAAAATAGGAAAATAATGGGCAAAATCCGCATATATACCTTTCTCCGCATGATAATTTACTCTATATATATATATATATATATATATATATATATATTTAATAACTTTTTCCTCATAATTAAATAATAACTGTTAATTTAATTGCCCATCTAATGAAATATAGTTAATTCAACTGCCTCTGGTCGGTTTGACAATTTCTTACCCAACACATATTGAAAATCACACCATCTGAAGTGATTTGGCAACGTAGCACACGCCCAAAACGAATTTCGTTCCATCATTATACACAGACACTGCTACCTTCGGCCATATGTCAAAAGGTTCATCTTACTCATTATTATATGCCCACCATGTTGTGCAAACATCAAGTGGCTTCACGATGTAATGCTTAACTTTCATTTCTAAAAACTTTTTAATCTGTTTTAACTTGTTCTTGTCATACAGCTGTGTGTATTTTATATAATTTTGACCAATGTACCATTTATCCAGCTTTCACCATGTTACTGGGTGTTTCCCTCATCCTTAACGTAAACAACAATTAGCAACATCCTCACAACTGTAAGTTAATTTAAATTCATTTTACACTATTGTTGCTACTGTTATCAATGTAATTGCAGCTCCTGATGATGATGGCAAAGACCATTGAAAGCTAGAGGGAATAAAAAAAGTATAAAGAGTCCTCCTTGTTTAAATTTTGTCGAAGTACCCAACAAAAGGCGGAAGCTTTAATTTTTCACCTAACTGGTCTAGACGACAATGACCATGTCTCAAGTTATATATATATATATATATATATTAGCACATTTCCTCGGATTAAATGTAAACAGATGGACACACAAAATGGGTACACCAATTTTTGTGGGAAAACTTTTTATTTGACAACAAAGAATGAGAAAACGTGTTTTTGGGGATTTAATCGAATGTGTTGACAGAAACGAAAAACCTTTTCATATAAGATTTTTAGGTATTTATGAGTCCTATAAAATGAGACTACACGTAAAAAGATTCGGCTAATATAAAAAATGTTATGGCCGAAAAACGGGGCAAAATGCAGGTTTTGGCATTTGTTGGTAATATGACGATAATTTCCCGCAACTATTTGAAATTCTTCAAATCCGTAGGATTCATACTAACAACAACAAAATTGGAGTATATTGGTCAAGCAGTTTTTTGAAAATTTCTAATTGTAAGCAATTGTTTTTCGGCCATCACTACTAGCTTATTGAGCAATATACAGAGTTCCTTCAAAGTGAATTTAATAGCAAAACATACGTGTTTACCTTGCCGGTATGAATCACAAACCATTCCGAAAGATAAATTCTTTGTTGTCGAATAAAAATATTCCCACAAAAATTGGTCTACCCATTTTATGCGTCCATGTTTTGAATACCCCCTTGAACAACTTGCAGAAATAAAACCAGACTTTACAGTTATTTGGCAAACCAGGAGTATTTTCGTCTAATAGCAGATCAACTGGCGGGATGACAGCTACCACCAGTGTTGCATCAGTCGACACCGTCCTGTAAGCGCATATCACGCGGAACACCAGCTTCTCAGCATTAGTTGCCTATATTTCTTTTTCCTAATGCTCTACTATAAATAGGCGTCCATTTTTTCATTACATTGTGAGGGTAGAACGGGAAATATTCATTTCGAGCGGATATTCCGTCTTTACCCTATAGGCACACAAGGCCCGTGACAAGGGTGTCCGACGTGATGCGGCCGACAAATGCGCAAAAATCAAACAAGATTTCAAATAAGTATGGCTGAGTACATCGTCTCGCCTCTTTTCAATTTTTCGCAACGGCAGAGTACCATGTCTCCTCAGCCAGCAAATCAATTGGCGGTATGCCAGCCACCACATTCGTTGACACGTGTACCACGCGCAACACCACCTTTCGCTGGATTCTCAGCATTAGTTGCCTATATTTTTTCTCAAAGCCTTACTAGAAAAAGGTGCTCCGGAGCCATTATAAGATCCTTGTCGAGCCACAGATCCAGGTACTTAGCATCCTTTGGGCTTCGAATCTCGGCGTTCTCAACCTTCACTGCCTATGAAGTGAGCTTCTATCTGTCAGAAAGTATAACAGCTTCTATTGTTATCCCGTGTTTATTAACCCTGCGTTAGTCGAGTGGCTGACAGGAGTCAACCACGCCTGCATCTGCGCTGATTGGATTTGATTTGCGTGGTATTGTGGCGCCATCGTCCATGTTGTTTCTCTATTTAATCAATAAAAATGAGTGAATCTGACTTGTATGTATGTATTTTTCATTGCTGTCTATTAAAGGTTGACACACGTGTCCCCCACGCGCCCAACAACGTCACACGTACCCACGCGCCTAAAGCAGGGTTAACCTGTAATTTGGTAAAAGAATGTAACTGTGCTCAGTTGGTAGTTAATGAGATGTCAGAGTGTGGTTCTCGTACTTTGGTCTTTGAAACAAATGGTTGAGGTTTGGGCGCCACCTAGTTCCAGAAAAGAAATAACAAGTAACAAACATTTATTAAACAAAAAAAGACATTTAAAAAAAGTCCTGGGAGACAAGCAAGGAAATTAGTTTGTACTACCTCCCAGCCAAATGGTTTCCAGCAAGAACTAAAATTTAAAAAAAATCACCTTGGTAGGTGCTTGGCTATTACAGAATGGTGGGATTGATTCCCATACACAAGATAAGGTATTTATGCTATTTAGCGTCCCGAAGGAAAGGCTACCCAAATGGAAGCTCCGAACCAAGGGTAGGAAGTCCCAGATGTAAATCAGGATCCGAAGGTAGAACCCACAAAGAATGAGGGTTCACAGAAATGGGGGACTGCTCCTCACAGACGTGAGTTCTACTTAAGGGTCGCGTCGGAGTATTGATGCAAACACTTCCTCTCAGTTCGATGGCTTAGTGTAGCTGTAACAACGGCTAAATCCCCAAGGGGATGAGTAAATGGCTCCGACAACAAAATTAACCAACGTAGGTCGATTTATATCAAAATCTCCACAACCCGAAAAAAACAGCACTGGGTATGAAATTTCATCTCTACCATGGGTTATGGGCCGTTGAGTTCCTACACCAGAGCACCGGAAATAGTACCAAAGCACCTTCAGCTCTCGTATTTACGGTCGTCCGAAATTATAAAAAATGACCTTTAACGAGATGGAGAGTAAAGTACGATTTTCTACCATAGAATTATTGGACCAAGGGAAGTGTTTTGTTATAAAAATATAATTCAATATTTTTAAGAACTGTTATAAAATTATTATTCTAAATAAGAGAACCGTTGTAATAATTAACTTAATTAAGATATAGTTAATTTTTAGTCGAGCATAAAAAGATACTGTAACACTGTCTTCTGGGGAGTTAACTTCAAGCCGTTCTCTTCCAAAAGCCTTTCTAGTGTACCTCTCTGCTTGTTAGCTATTATCACCGCAAGGTCGTCACATACCCTATCAGGTGAATTCCAGACAACTTATGAAATCGAACAACCTCATCGTACAACAGCAATGGCCCTGCGGTCCTCCCATAGTTACCTTTAGCCACAAACCCCAAGCTTCCTGTTGACTCTACATAGTTCACGGCGGCGCTGTCGAGCGTTACCATATATGGACATTTCGTGGCCTTAATATGCACCTGAAACATTCGGTTACAAAACGAGTGCTGGACAATAGAGGCGCTGATTCTATTTTATGCGGAAATATGAAAAATCCTGGCAGCCATACTGAGACAGATAGAGTAAGGCACTTACTTGAGAGATTCCTTCCTCACTCGGCAGGCGCTTCCGGGTAACGATGATTGCACTTGGAGACCTTCAGAGCTTTAGCACACACTAAGCACATGTTGTTAGTTAGAATTTTGGCCTTTTTGATAACCTAATAAATTTTCGGAGTCTGATTACATGAACGTATATCACGGACTTGAATTTCCGGAAGAGTGACTGCAGAAACGGCGAAGGGGGCATTTTAAGGTTAATTATAAAATATAACTCCCATACCTCTACATCCTGACAAATATAGACAGCATGATATTTTTCTCAAATTGTTGGTTTGGGACAACCTTTATTTGTATTTCCTTCCTACAATATTGTAGGGCACTTTTATGGCCTCCTTGATTTCCATAGTTTTCTACTCTTCCGTGTCAGTGCTCTATTTAGAGGTTAAGTTACAAATATTTATTTGCATCATATTGTTCATACTTTTGATTTATATCATCTGTTATTCATTCTTAAATTTCCTACAATTCAAGAAGAAAATATAGCCTGACAACAGGAGAGCGCTGACGCTGACACGAAACAGTAGAAATCTAGAGATATTCCAGCCTTTCTGAATGAGAGGAAAGGCTTTGAAAATCAAGGAGGTCATAAAGTCGTATCCTACAATTGTAGGAACAACTGACGATACAGCCCTTATGGCCTCCTTGATTTTCATAGTTTTCTACTGTTCCGTGTCAGCGCTCTATTTTGAGGTTATGTCTCCATTATCTATTTGCATCAAATTATTCATGCTTTTGATATATATCCTCCGTTTTAACAGCCTTGAATTTCCTACAATTTAAAAAGAAAACATAACTACACAATAGTAGAGCTCTGAGGCTGACACGGAACAGTAGAAATCTAGAAATACCCCAGCCTTTCTGAAGGAGAGCAAAGACTATGAAAATCAAGAAAGTCATAAAGACGTACTAGAATTGTAGGAACGACTGACAATACGGCCCTCAGCCTTCCAAGTCTATAATAAAATATACAACTACAGGTTTTTTTTATTATGTCGCTCTTTCAGTTACCTGCTGCCTGACAAAGGTCGAAGCTCCAAGCAGAAAACTCCAATGGCTCGTAGGACGGTGAATCCTGTATGGAACCACACGTTCGTGTATGATGACGTCACGTTACAGGAGTTAGCAGAACGTTGTTTAGAACTCACAGTTTGGGACCATGACAGATTGGGCAGCAATGAGTTTTTGGGCGGAGTCAGATTCTCTTTGGGAACAGGTGAGACTGCCATATATCAATTATATAGGATTTTCTTGAAGTTGTAATTTACCTTTCCACGCCGGATAGTTCTTGTAAAAATAAGCAACTATGCCTAATAACGAAACCACGATAGTATATTAGGGCCAGAAAAAATCTGCGATATTAAATGTGGTCCTGCTTCCACCAAAGGATTACATGAAAAAATGAGTGTCAGTATCCAACCCAGACACCGCATACTGTACTGGAAAACCGAGCCGTTTATTTATAAATAGGATTTGAAAACCGAAAAATATCACGTCCCTATGGCAATAACGAACTTATAGATATAAAGAAGCTTTCCTTTAGGCCACCTTCTCATATACGTAATCTCTATTTGTCAAAGTAAGGTGAGATTCCTCACTTGTCTCCTCGCCTCTGGGATGCTTTAGAAAAATTTATTACTCACTTGATATGATGATTGGAGGAGATTATTTGTTGGCTATGTTTGTATATTTGTATATCTCCAGAGATACACAGAAAACGGTACGAATTTTGTCAAAATCGTTTCTATTTTTTGCCGAATTTATTTCAGATAGGATTTCAAAATAAATTGCACATTGACACTGCCACTTTTTGATCTCTGCAAGGTGGCATAAATAGAATATTAATATGGTTTTTCGTCTCTTACGCCGTCTCAACTTTGGTTTTTCTTAAGTACGTATGTCATTTTTTCATAGACGAATAGCTTTTAATTCTGATTTATTTTAAACATTGCTGCCCATAAAATAAAAAATCCAAAATCGGAGGTCATGACCATTGATTTATCGATGGGCAGTGCCAATTTCTACGAACCTTGGGTTGGAAAGATGTTTTTTTTTATTCAAACCATTTTCTTTTGAGGGTAATATTTTTTAATGTTAATTTTTAACCTTCAGGCAAACACTATGGCAAACACGTAGATTGGATGGACGCCTCTGGGAAAGAACTAAGTCTCTGGAAGAGCATGCTAGAGAGGCCCAACTTCTGGGTGGAAGGATGCCTTCAACTTCGACCGAGTCTTGACAGCCGAGTATCCTAATACTCACTCAGTCAAAATCAAATGTGTCCACAGTTTGCTCAAAATAATATTCGACCAGCAGGTCTTACAAATTTGTAATTTGTATAATAATGTTAAAAATGACCTTCGTGTTGATGTGAAGTCATCAATATATTCTAAAGAAATCCTGTATAAACTTATAATCAAACCATATTTGTGTTGTATATAAAAATGTCTTCCAAAATATTCAGTTTTTCAATATTAATAGATAAGTCTGTTGGCTAAATATCGAAATGTTTTTTACTAACTGTGGACACCTTGTAGACTTATACAGAGGGAGTCTCCTTATATTTTGACCAGACATTTTTTCAATGTAAATGTATATTGTGAGGTTATGTCCACTTGTTGATTCATCTATCACAAATTGAGAAATAAAAAACGTTGTTCCCAGCTCTATTAAAAGGTGAAATATATAGAAACATCCTGTGTATGTTTGTTCATGATTATATATTGAATGTATGTAATGTTGCGATTCATGATTTTTTTTAAATATTGTTAGTATGTTGATGAACTGATATATTTTCTTATAATAGTAATGATAATAAATAGATGTTTTCTACGCTTATCGGCTTTTCTTTAGAGCATTCTCAAATCTAACATTTCTACTTTCCATGAAACACTTATTTCAAACAAGTACATCACGACCAATGTCACTGGACTATAATAATTGGTTGATGTAAGACTGGTTGCCAACAGTCACAGAACGAAAGAAGAGAGATTGCAACTCACCGTTTTGGGTAGTCTTGTATACCATTTTCAATTTCTTTACACATTAAATAACGCTAAAGCTTGAAAGTACCTATTTGCTATGTAAACAGTAAACCCCTTGTTGATTGATCAGAGCGATGCATAATTACGGATCTTTATTCGAAGTCAGAAGATCCAGATTTACAAATTCTCGTCAACTTTCATATGAGAGCTACTTTCTGTGGGGTGAGGTTTGTAAATCGCCTTCATGTGAAAAAATCTAATGCCTACAATACGACTATGGCCAGACAGTGTGGAGCTGTTTGCAATTTTCGCCCAAGGGAACATTTCCTCGTAAGCATCCGCATCGCTAAGACCAAGATGGCGCATACTATTACTCGTTTCCCGTGATTTGACATCTAACTTCTCTATGTTCTGAACGTTGTGTTCTGTGCTTCGTGCGGATGACTGATGACACAACTTTCATTTGTTATTCTTACCGATAAAAGTATGGTGGTTGAAGTGGATTCTTTGACATTGTTTTTGTAGATTAATCCCCATAAATTACCAGTAACTAGTTGTAAGAAATTAGTGGGTAGGATGGCAGAAGCAGCGGTAGAAGACAGACCTCCACAGAGGTTCTATTGCCACATGTGCCACGTTCAGTTTCAGCATGCCTCGGCGGTAAGTTGTAGATCATTGCTCATACATTTCGAATCCGAATTCGTTTTTTACATGGTCTATTTTGCAGGACTTCACTTGTCCCCACTGCTCGGATGGCTTCATCGAGGAGCTCTTGGAGGCCCCAGAGGGCAACGAAGAGATGGCAGACGTCGATGATTGGGAAGAAGACGATTGGGTGAGTGGACAATCGCAGTTTCCAATTCGTGCCAACCTTTTGCAACTTATTGAACTTATTTCTGTTTGTATTTCGAAAAGTATTGCTCATAATTGAACTTCCTAGGTTTTGTTTGGTGCAATTTGCGGCGCAATAAGTTCACATCATATCTGAAAGTTTGTTTATTAAAGTGTATTAACGCAAATGTATTGTTTGTAAATTGTCTCAAATTTTATTCAATGTGTCGATGACGAAGTAGTTACTAGTTGTCTCAAATTTTATTCAGTGTCAATGATGGAATAGTTATTAAAAAAGTATACATTTTCAATATAATTATAATAGCTGCATTCTTTTGTTGATCAAGTGATTGAAGTAACAAAAGGTTTATATTATATATTTACTTATTATTTGAAGCTACTGATTTTGAATTAAGTTATCTGACTACCTGTAGACAGTTTAATTAATAATTGAAGGAGGACAAAAGGTTTAAAATATTAACAATGAATATTTTGATAATATATTGTAGAAAACACCAACTTTATCACTCCCTAATCAAATTTGCAGCATAAAAATAACACATGTTGCAATTACAGCATATCAACCTATTTTCATTTCAATGCAAAATAAGTCTATAAAGTATAGGTGGCTGTGAAAAATTAAAGCGATGACAATTGTTTTTATTAATCACAGCTGTCAGAATACCTTTAAAATAGTTTTGGGTAGTTAAGGTTTTCAAAATGGGTAGAGGAAAGGTTATTAGTGAGAAAATTCGGTTACTGATAATTAAGTTTTTTGATTCTGGGAAATCAAACTCAGAAATTGGAACTTTGTTAGACTTATCACCCATACAGTGTGAGAAATATTGTTAGAAGATATAACGTAACTGGTCCAGTTAATATTAAGCCATGATATGTGAAAAAAAGTAATATCACAAATGCAGATGGAAGACCATTAAGAAGAATAATCGTGAAAAACAGGCGTGCCAATTATTTACAATTAAGTGCTCTGTGGAATGTCTCTGTCGGAAGGAGAAGTTCGAGGTCCACAACTCATAGAGAGGCCTACAGACTGGGATTTAGCACTTGCAAGGTAAGTTTTATTATAAAAAAAAGTGAAGTAAAAACCCTAAAGTTGCACAACTTGTTTATAGGCCAAAGAAAAGCCACTATTAACTCCACTGCAAAAGAAAAATTGGCTTAAATGGGCTAAAGAACTTAGACAATGGACACCTCAACAATGGTATGCAATATAATGGAGTGATGGCCCGATTCGAAGTTTGTGCTGGTGACAGTCCCAGTAGAGTTATTCACAAAAATAATTAAACATTCCATGTTGACTGTCTGAAGAGAAAAGTGAAATTTCCAGCATCCATTACGGTCTGGGGCAGTATGTCATCAAAAGGAATAGGAAAACTTCATTTAATTGATGGAAATGTGGATACAAACAAATATTTGGCAATTTTAGAGAAATCGCTTTTACCAGTGATGGAAGAATGTTTAACATCTGGAAAAGATTTTGTGTTTTAGCAAGGTGGTGCAGCTTGCCATACCTCAAAAAAGGCTATAAAATGGATAGAAGAAAATAATGTACCACTTTTGAAATGGGTTTCTAGCAGTCCAGATCTGTCACCTATTGAAACTTTGTGGCACGAGATGAGAAAGGTTCTACGACAACATCCTGCTCATACAATCACCGAACTGAGACAAAAGCTTCAAGAAATATGGGATTGTTTTACACCAAATTTTTGTCAAAACTTGGTAAACACTATGCGCCGTAATAAAAAATAAAGCTGATGTTACCCAATGGTAATCTTTCAATTGTTGCTTTGTTAACTTCGCGCATTTATTCGCACATTGTTTATTTGTTCAAATGTTCTATTAGTTATAGGTCTAAGTGATTTCAAATATGTATTTTTTACGACTGGAGTGTATCTAAAATGTTTTTGAGAAAATAAATTGTTTTAGAAGTAAATGGTTTCATCATGTTTAGTTTATAAAGGCATATTTTGGTACAAATCTCAAGTGGGAAGGGGCTCGTATATCTTAAAAATGTGATAGTATAATAGACATGATATGCAAGTATGGGTCAAATTTTCTAATATAAAACTTCTGCTGCCACTAGTTTGACAATGATTGTATTCATCAGAATACGACAATGAGTCCAATCAGCCAATGTAAATTGTTACAGTGTACAAGGATGTCTTTTAAGTTTTGCATATGGAAATAAAACAACACGGTAGCTAGTTTTAAATGACTTTATTGTTTTTCGAAGTATTCTTCACTGACCCTTCGTTTGAGTCTCCTGAGTACTTCCACGTAAAACTTGGCGTTGACGGTTTGTCCAGGAGGAACAAATTCATGGTGGACGATGCCTTTGATGTCAAAAAAGACAATGAGCATCGTTTTCACTTTGGATTTGCTCATTCTTCCCTTTTTTGGGGGAGGAGACGCCGTCGTGTGCCAATCGGAAGATTGCCTCTTTGTCTCGGAATCATACTCAAAGATCCACGACTCGTCACCTGTGATTACGTTATTCAAAAATTGGGGGTCACTTTCACACATGTTCAAATTTTCTTGGCACACTTCCACTCGCCGCAATTTCTGGTCGTCAGTGAGCACTTTTAGAACCATCTTCGCGCACACCTTGCGCATGTTCAAATGCTGTGTCACAATGTCATGAACCACAGATTTTGGTAATTTTAACATCTGAGCAATTAAACGAATACTTAGTCGACGGTCTGAATTCAAAACTTTGCGCACACGAGTCACATTATCGTTGTTTGTCGAAGTCGAAGGTCTTCCAGCACGGTCTTCATCAGCGACCTCTTCCCGGCCCTCCAAAAAGGTCTGGTGCCACCGAAACACACCACTTCTTGCTAAAGCAACACCTGGGTAAGCCTGCTTGATCATATTAAACGTCTCTGTCGCAGATTTACCGAGTTTCACACAGAATTTAATCGCGTACCTCTGCTCTAACGAACGCTGCATTTTCGGCTTGCACCACTCACAGAAACACGTCGCGCGAAAATGCCTGTCCTGACTCTCCAAGTGCTCGGAGACAACTGACCAGCCGCTCATTCGTTAGCTAGGAACGCCCTCTACCGAATACAGTCATGGCGAAAGAAAATGAGTCCTGTTACTTTCCGGACAAACCCTGTATTATTTAAATTTATTGATAATGTGAATGAATGTTAACTCGTAATGAAAAGTAGATATTAGAGTGACCTATCAATTTGCTTATTCTCATATATTTATAGATCTCATATGGTTGAAACTTCCTTGGGATAAACATTTTCTGATAAAAAATCCGATTACATACATAGAATTATCTAGAACACTGTTATCAGCTTCATTGTTCTCAAAATCTTTAGGAATGTGCAGTATTATTTTATCAAGCTAAACACAAGATATCATTTTGCTATGATTTGATGTTTGTTGTCCATATTTTTTTTTTCATATACATAAGTTATATTATATTAAATACCAGAATGATTGATAACAAATAACGTAATTATCGAATTGGACTGTTTAACAGTTTTATGTCTTAAAAATGTACATGTTACTTAATTAAATCATGTAATATTGATGTACAGGTTTTGAGAATTGCTTCTATTTTTATAAATCCATAAATCATTGTCTCTAGTTCAATTTGCGGCAAAATCGAAGATTTTTCAAAGAGAAAAAGTCATAAAAATAAAAGTAATCACCCTGTTTAATTCATTCATTTCAGAGCTGTACTATTTGTTAATCAGTTACAATTGAAAAAAGCAATAACAAAAAATACATTTTTTAACAAAAACAGGTAGTTGAAAAAAAGCGAAAAAAAAGACTTGCGACCTTGAGCAATTTTTATCTAGAGTTTACTGAAATATTTGTGTTGGTCTTCTTACAGCACAAGTTGGGTTGAAGTATCTTCTGTTTATCAAAACTGCTTTCCTGTTTCACATTGCCACATATTTATAATGGTTTATTTTTTCATATGCAGTTAGTAGAAGATAGACGTCCAGGTAGTCGTCCATTGAGATCTGATGGGACTCGTCCTGGCAGAAGGTACGCTAATACTCGAGCAAGGATAGTAAGGCCCAGGTCTGACAGATTCATTTTATCCATTACTTCGCCTGTATACTGCATGCTGCATGCCTGTCTCTATCTCAACTAACATAACTAACCTTGTCATTGGAGAATTCGCTCATTTCATCTGTGGATAAAATCACCTATACTGATTATTGTATACAAAACATATAAGTAATATAATATTCACTATGTGACTCAATAGTACACAAGGTAAGAATTATTCAGCTACACTAGTACACTATCATTACACATATGCCCAAACTCGTATTTGTTAAAGATTTTTTTTATTACCTCCCAGTGGGTTGTAGCAGAAAACATTATATGATTAGACCATCTCAAAAGCATGTTCTGCCATGCTACTTATTATTTTAGATTTATTAATTTACCTCGTATTAAAAAATTTTAGAGCAAGAAAATTGTTCTACTACTGTTGATCTTTGAGGAGGTGTAATAAGGTCTTGTAGCTTGGGGGTACTAATTATACAAGTAGTGGGGCATATTATCTGCATATTATGTCTAGCCATTGATTGACATATTCTACCTGAACCAACTTAATGCTACATTCCTGCATTCAAAAAATTATTCAAGATAAGATGATACAGTTGCACATCTATGAGAATTTATCACAGCTGTTACTTTATTCACTAAATGCATATACTCTGAAAAGGTGGGTGACAAATTCTCTTAGATGACGCTACAGTCTCTCATTTTATCTCGGATAATTTTTTAGACGCGACAATACAGGATTAGGTTGGCTATCTTCAGGTAGAATACATTAACCAATGCTCTAGCAAATACTAATATAGCAGTAATACCATTTGAATATGTCTTTGAACATTTGATCGGACATTTGTTCGGATAATTCTAATAACTCATAAATACTAATTATCACTTGAAACTTGTTCACTATTCTACTAAAATGGTCATTTTGATTAATGTATGTCAATATGTTTGTATTCCAGGACCCTAACACGATTAGCCTCTTCAAATTTACGACAGCAGTTGCCCTTGGAAAACCTACTGCAAGACTTTATAGTAAATTTGGGAGTTGGCGTGAACTGGGGAACCCCGGGAGGTAATTGGCAACTGTTTCTAGGCAACCCTGGTGACTATGCCTGGGGTAGGGAAGGTTTGGATGCTATTGTCACACAGCTGCTCAATCAGATGGATAGCACAGGTGGGTGATCAGGTATAAATCAGTTTTCAAACAAATTAAATTGTGAATATGCCAAACTTTATCATGCTTTCAAGGTCTTGCAATTGGCTCATTCTTTTTATTTCTAGCACTAGAAATAAGGTAAGATCACAGAGAAAATAAAGTTTTGTTGCTCTCATTTTAGGTTCCCGAGTATAATACCGTAACAGATACTTACTTTCCATTATTATGGTGGAATTTGAAGGTTATTTGAATTATCTTTGGTTACAGGTCCACCACCAGTTTCGAAAGCTGTAATAGATGCCCTCCCCATAGTAGAGATCACCTTAGAACAGTCTATAGCGAAATTGCAATGCAGTGTGTGCTGGGAAGACTTTTTAACAGGTAAATTGCTGTTTCATATTTCAGAGAGACTCTGCATTTCGACGAACCAGGGTCCATGCTACTAGGCGGAGGATCCATATATTCTGTACAGGTTACCGTAGATGGGTTTATCAAATTAAAATTTTTGATAAAGGATGTCGCGATAGGTATACTTCGGGATTTTTTTAAGCTCAGTTTTTCAATGTTCGAGATAACATTTTGCATTGTTCTCATGTCTTCTAGAGATCCGACGATTTAGTTTATGGAACCTTTTGCGTCGAAAAGACGCACCATGTCAATAGATCTCAAAGCGTGAAAAAATTGTTACCTTCCTGTCTTTACTAAGCTGCTTTCCAGTGACCCTGTTGAGTTTCTCTGAATAAGTCAGTAGTGCTCGGCACCAATACCGTTCCATTGCACATTGTATTCTCATGCATTGTTTCGGAAGCAGTTCAGGAGCTGTTGAAAGTATCGCCTCCAACCGCGTCGCTGCCTGCCATTGTGCAAACCCAATTAGGACGTTCGTTCTAATTTTTTCATGAAAATTACGATGGTAGAATTGCAAATGTTGCCACTTATATGGGTTTTTTGTCATCCAATTGGATAATATGCATCTTAACATTTTTTTTGTAACTAGTCTAGTCTATATTAGACGAAATTACCCCTGGTTTGTGAAATAATTGTGAAGTCTGGTATTATTGCTGCAAGTTGTTCCAGGGGGGGATTTGAAACATTAACGCATAAAATGGGTACACCAATTTTGTGGGAAAGCTTTTTATTCGACAACAAAGAATGGGAAAACCCGTATTTTGGGACTCATTCGAAAGTGTTGACAGGAACAAACAAACTCTTCAAATAAGATTTTTAGGTATTTATGAGACCTACAGAATGAGATAACACGTGAAAAGATCCGACCATTGTTATGGCCGAAAAACGAGGCAAAATGCAGGTTCTCACACTTGTTAGTAATGCGATGATAATTACACGCAACTACTTGAAATCCTTCAAGTCAGTAGCATTCATAGATCTAAATAACAACAACAAAATTTGATTATACCGGTCAAGTAGTTCTTTGAGAATTTCAAGAATTTCCAATTGTTTATCCCAAAACACTACTGGTTTATTGAACAATATACAGTGTTCATTCAAAGAGCATTTAATAGCAAAATACATGTGTTTACCTTGCTGATATGAGTCACAAACCATTCGGAAAGATGTTTTGGGATAAACAATTAGAAATTCTCAAAAACTACTTGACCAATCTACTCCAATTTTGTTTTGGTCATCTAGAAATACGAATCTATGAATTTGAAGAATTTCAAATATCTGCGAGGAACCATCGTCGCATTACCAACAAGTGCCAAAACCTCAGTTTGCCTCGGTTTTCGGTCATAACCTGTTTGCTATTAGTCGGATCTTTTAACGTGTGTCTCATTTTGCAGATCTCATGAATACCTAAAAATCTTATATGGAGAGTTTTTTTGTTCCTGCCAACACTTTCGATTGGATACCAAAAACGTACATTCTCTGTTGTCAAATAAAAAGTTTTTCCACAAAAATCGATGTACCCATTTTATGCGTCCATATTTTGAATACCCCCTTGAACAACTTACATCAATAAAACCAGACTTTACAATTATTACAGAAACCATTGGTATTTTTGTCTAATATGATTAGACTACATCTACATATTTTTGAAGGTACGGCCTCCAACCACGTAAGCGTCGCCTAGGTGGAAATTGCTGCAATTGTGTAAACCCATTTGGGTCGTCTTTCTCATTTTTTCGTGAAAATTGCGATTTTAGAACTGTAAATGTTCACGTTGATCTGTGCGAATTATCTGGACTATTTGCGACTCCAATTGGATAATATGCACGTTAACATTTTTTTCCAATAAGATGTGGCCACGTGTGAAACGGCGAGGAAACTTTGGACCACAATTTGTTTTATTCTGTTTCGTCAGCTCGTTTGGAAAACCCTTGTGCCTTTTGTCTTATCAGAATAATTTTGTTTTCAAATCCACAAGCTAATATAATCAGAATTTTAAAATATTTCTTTTTTAAAACATCTCCATTAAACCGTTTGCTCGATTTGGTCGTTCTCATATACAGGGTATTTCAAATTCGTCCCTCACTATTGGGATCTCGGAAACTGTAAGAGATACGAAGTCGCTTAAAAGGGGACAAAACAGCGTTTTTATGTAATCAACAAAATGCCGCTTAAAAAGTTTCGAAAATCAAAGCACTTTCGAATTTTCCCAAAATCGTTTTAATTTTTTCCTGGCCTTATTTGTTTGTGGGATTACAAAATAACTTTCACATTGACATTGCCATTTTTTCTCCTCTACAAGATGGCATAATTAGAATTTCAATTTGACGTTTCGTCTCTTGTCCTCCAGCTTCAACTTTATTCTTTCTTATGGACTTATGGATTTTTGCACAGATGAATACAGTTTTTAATTCTGATCTAAAAAATGTATGATAAATCATATATTAACGTTGCCAGACCATAGTGACTTCAAAAAAAGACAGTATTTCCCAGCTAGGCCTTGAAATTATCAGACTGTCATTTGTTTCAGAAAAAAAATGTATCCCAATATCACTTTTATTTCTTCCTGACTTGATTTAACATATGATTTCAAAATAAATTCCATGTTGTCATTGCTACTTATTCTCCTCTACAAGATGGCGTAGTCAAGTTTACAATTAGAAATTTTTTCTTTCAACTTCCATCACCAACTTCTTTTCATATGGCTGCTATACTGGAATTTTTACATTTAAATGGACATTTCAGTCCTAAATGCAGTGATGTATTTCCTAAATTCACCGTGAATTTGTTTTTGGATGAAAATTATAAGGAAAAAGGTGTGGTGAAACCGGAACACAACATGAAGATTTAATTGATGGTACTAATCATGAATAACTAGAGGTAAATCATAGCAGATGTTCAAAATGTCCTTTACTTGGTAGGCAAAGCCTGACTCTTGTCTGTAGATTGATCGCTGCTCGATTTATTTCTCTTCTTCCTAGTCTTCCAAACTCTGCTGTTATATTCAATTTGAGATCTGGTCTGGTATACAAAACAAAATTAAAACGATTTTGAGTAAATTCGGGTTTTTCCGTCTCTCCAGAAGTACTTTCAATTCGAAACCTTCTAAGCGGCATTTTGTTGACTACCTAAATACGCAACTTTGCTCCCATTTAAGCGACTTCGTATCTCTTACCGTTTCCGAGATCACAATGGTGAGGGTCGAATTTGAAACACCCTATATGTAATAACCTATTTTTAGTATACGCGAAACACCTAAACCCTATCATGACGCCAATGACGATCATATTTAGGCGTAGTAGAATTTTCTGGGCACGTGTTAGAAGATTTGAGACGCTTTTTTAAACGATTAGACGTCTTCGTCGACGATAACCCTGACCCGTGATTGGGCGAGACGGTAACTACTTAAACGTGTACTCCCTTAGACGTATAGTAATTGGACCTCGTCTTTCCTTTGTCCAGAGGGTGTCGAGATTGTGGAACAATCTACAAGAGGAAGCTTTTCAAAGTTCTACTAACCTTAGGCAGTTCAAAAATCGTATTAAGAAAGTTTCTTTGGAATCATCATAGCAGCCGCGGTGTTCCGGCATAATTCCTGGTGAACAATGCCCCGAGAATCAAAGGAAACAATCAACATTGTTTTCACATTGGACCTTGATTTTTTCGACTTTTTTATTATCGTTTGCGCCGCTTGCTTCCACTCCATGCTTTGAGATTTCAGCTCCCAATCGAATTCGTAGAACCAAGACTCGTCTCCAGTGATGACGCGGTTGAGAAAGTCCCCCCTTTCACCAGCAAGTAACCCTCGTTTTCTGTTCTGGAGTCAAGAGCTTCGGACCGATTTTTTTCGAGTTTTTCTATCAGAATTTCGTGGAGGATTGTTTTGGGGATTGACAGTTCCCCAGCTATTATTCCAACTGTCAATCGCAGGTCCTTAAGGACGAATTCGTTCAACATTTCCTTAGAGCTCGATGTGGACGGATGTCCTGAGCTTTGGTATCTTCTCGGCCTTCCCGAAAACTTTTCAACCACTTGTAGACGGTTGGTTCCTTCAGAGAATTGTCTCAGTAAACTTGTTCCAAACACTCAAAAATCTCACGACCATTCTTTGCAAGAAGCTTGGTGTTGACGCGCTGTTCCTCGATCAGAGAGAGCGCCTTGCCAACGGCAGGTAAAAAAAGGTTACTTTCAACAAGCACACGTAAATCCTTTGTACTCGCATAGCGCTTCGGCTCGAACTGAGCATAGAGGGGATTGCATAGAGAGAGGGAACCACCGGGCCACCCCTCCACAACGCCTTGACATGACGCCTCGATTTTTTTTATACGTATTTTCCGGACAAACCTTGTACATAATCCTGTTTTCGCTTAGGCTCGACTTTGATGTATCTCCTGGTGGAATATGTTTTAGGCGAGAGCGTTAGGCGATTACCCTGCCAGCACGTATACCATGAGCCGTGCATCAGGCCGTGGTTAGAGTTGCACGGCACGTGCCCCATTTGCAGGCAGAACTTGAGCAACGGGGACTCGGATGACAGACGTGGCGACGGATCGGAAGGATCTGCAGGTGGCGGTGGATCGCAAGGAGAAGGAACCGCCGGGGGACCTGCTGTTGGCGGTGAGCTGGAAATTTTGTAGATAGAAGTAATGGTATTGTTATTACAACTTGTAGGCTCGATTTTACTATTGATCCGCGAGATCAAAATGGTCTATTGAAAAGGTGTGTTGTAGTATATGCCAAACTAGCGAAAAAAATATACGATTTGTGCAAGAAGGGTCTCCAATCCTCATATTAAATCAATTCTTTATAAATCACCTGGTTTAGCTATAAACATGTTTTTCACTTGATCCGGATCAACTATGACCAATTAAAAGCGTTTTTTTAGTAAAATCGGCTCGAATGTGACAGAATGCTTAGATTGAAATGACGTTAATTACAGAGCACTTATTGAAAATAACAGTGCAGTACTTACCTGACAGAGATAATTTTAGACAAAAGGATATCAGTATCAGTTGTCAATGACAAATTGTCAATTTGGTTCTCTTCGACATGTCAGCTTGAGTACGATAGAGAAGTGTGTATAGACAGACACATATGTTAGAAAGAGATAGAAGCCTCATGAATAGCGAAGCTAAATAACTCTAATCAAAATATTGAATTATTTGTTCGAACGGACATCCTCCTGGGATCCGACAGTAACCTAATCTATTGTAGAAGTCTGTCCGAACATTTTCTGGTGTAAGATATTGGCAATGTGGCAGATTGCACGACCTTCTGCCTCGCCGTTGCTAGGCAATGTGATGATGACTTTCGCTCTTCAGCCGGCTTCTATCTCTTTCTAACATGTGTTGATACACAACCTCTCTCGTACACATTCACCTCAAGCCGTCAAACAAATTTCGATTTCCCTGTATATCTTCTAAAGGGTTGTTTCCACTACCGAATCGAGAAATCGCAGTTATTGACTGCGATGCCAATTGTATGCCGTCAACTTCATCACGTCAGTTTGAGATATAAACTTTGTATTTCCAAATATGTGCATACAAGTGAGGAATGACGGACCTTATGTAGCGGGAGTTGAATATTTGTATAATCAGGACGTTATTAAAAAACTGCTTTTAAGACTTGGCAGAAGCAAAACAGTCAATTAATGTCATCACACTTCTCTGTCTTTCAGATATCGGTGCAATTATTAAGAAATGACATGACCGCTGATTTACATTTACGTTAGCATTGATTAATGTATTCTACCTGAAGAGCCAACCATATACAATATTCTAGCGTCCAAAAGGGGATTTGAGAGATCCTAGCGCCGTCTATGAGATAGTAGCAGAACCAAACACTCAAACTTCAAATTACATTTTTAGATTCACTTTGTGTTCTGCTACTGTCTCATAGATCTTTCAGATCCCTTTCCGAGCGCCAGAATGCAATATGTGGTGGGGTATCTTCAGATTGAATACGTTAATCAATCGTTTGAGTAAATATAACGTAATAAATGATATCAAAACCTAATGAGATCACACGTCGCTTAAGATCATTCTTTGATCTCGCATGTAAAAAGTGGTGGAGTAATAACGACCCACTTTTCAATCTAGTTATGTAATATACCTTTTCACCAAATAATCGCTTCCTAGAATAATTCCAGTGACTTTGGAAGTACAGCAGACGCTCGATAACGTAAACACGGGATAATGAAAACTTGCGCTAATGTAAACACAAACTTCGTTCTATAGGATCAAACGGAACGCGCGATAACGTAAACAATGTGTACGCTCGACAACGTAAACAACTCTCGGCGCACGGAAACAGCGCGACGGTAAAGTGCTGAAGCCTCGATGATTTATGTCGGGCGTCGGGGAGTCCCCGATTTATGATGTAGAGTGTAGGGGATTCACCTCTGCGATAAAATACGACAAACTCGGTCAGTCGTATGATCATTTAGGATACGTTTATACGTACATATGTATTTTATTTTTGAACTTAAGTGAATACATTGCACGCGTTAATATATTTTACGACTATGGCATCCACATCCTATGTGTTTAAAGTTGAGTGAGAAAGTGAAAATCATAGACGAAGTTGCACTAGGTGCGGGAGTGACACAGTTAGCAAAAAAATATGGAGTATCGAAAGCAACAATCTGTAAAATTAAGCGTATGAAAACTCAAATTTTACAAAGAACGTGCAATACATTTGGAGGTCCGGGAAAAAGAAAAACTTTAAAAAATGCGAAGGCACCTAAAATGGAAAATTCCCTCTATATGTGGTTTTTAAAACAACGGGAAAATCATGTCCCAGTTAGTGGCGAAGTACTTAAACAGAGAGCGAGACTGTTAAATGAAAAACTGAAAGAAACTGAAAATTTCGTAGCTAGTGATGGCTGGCTACAACGATTCAAAACAAGATATGGAATTCGACTGCTGTCTATATCTGGTGAAAAATTATCAGCACAACCACAATTAGTGCCACCATTCAAAGAAAAATTGATGAAAACAATTACCGAGCTAGATTTAAGAATGGAACAAATTTACAACGCAGATGAAAGTGGCCTTTATTGGAAAATGTTACCAGATAAAACCTATGCTGCATCATTTAAAAAATCTGCCCCGGGAAGAAAGCCGGAGAAACAACGAATAACGTTTCTAGCCTGCACTAATGCTAATGGTTCACACAAAATAAAGCCACTGGTAATTGGGAAAGCAAAACATCCGCGCTCATTTAAAAATGTTAATATCCCTGTTGATTATGACTGTTCAAAAACCGCTTGGATGACTAGCAGTATCTTCCTGAAATGGTTCCACAGGTGCTTTGTCCCTCAGGTATGACAATCAATTATCACAAATGCTCTATTCATAATTTGAAGATGTGTTTTCAATTTGTAGATAAAAGGTTTCCTAAAACAACAGAAGCTTCCAATAAAAGCGTTGTTACTATTGGATAATGCACCAAGTCATCCTGCCGAGCAACAACTGAGGAGCAGGGATGGGTCAATTTTCGTCATGTACATGCCGCCCAACGTAACACCGTTAATTCAACCGATGGACCAGAATATAATAAGACTCACCAAACTATACTATAGGAAGTTTCTACTTTCGTCTGTCTTATCAAAGAATCCTGAAAACTTATCTGAGGCTTTAAAAAAAGTAACATTATGAGAAGCTGTTTTAGATTTACATATGGCCTGGAATGAACTTAACCAGCAAACTATTCAAAAATGTTGGAACAATCTCTTTTGTACCAATAATGAAGATGATGAAGAAGACGATGTCCCCTTAAGCGTAATTAGAGAACGTTTGCCATCCAATAATGATAATGTTGTTAGTGTGTCATTGGATGTTGTTGATTTATTGAAAACAGTGAATCCCAACATTGTTTGTACTCCTGCTGATATTAATTTATGGAACGAAGATAAGCAGACGAATGATGCTGATAAGGAGGAGGATATGGACAGTGAGGATGATGAGAACGATCCCATTGAAGTCAGAAGTGTAGTGACTGACGCGCAAGCTATACAAGTTTTTAACCAAGCTTTAGATTGGGCTGAAAGAAAAGAAGTTTCATACACGGATATTTTAGTTATTCGTAAATTACGGGCGCAGGCATTGGAAGACAATGCTAAGCGCAAATTTACGCATACAAAAATTGTTAATTATTTTTCTTCTAATTAAAAAAATACTTATCGCTGTTAGAATATTTGTTTATTTTGTTATAAATAGTATGTATTAAACGTTTCTTTTAATAAATCAAATATATAAATCACGTTCGCTAATGTAAACATTTCGATAATGTGAACCACACTTGGATTAAATTAGTTTACATTATTGAGCGTCTGCTGTATTCTGTCGATTGGAAAGGATGTTGGTGAGAAACAATCGAACTCCAACGTGTACTGAAAAAGTCCGAATTATTGATCTTTGATCTACTACCAACATGCTTTGACATTCGTATTCAAGGTTTTATTTCTCCTTCCAGCACCTCTGTCGCTCAGCATGTTGCGAACGCTGTTCCCACCACCGCACACACCGCCCTCTAGCGGCAGCGGAGGAAGCGCCAGCTCGAGCGGTACCGCCATGGAGACCAACGACAGCGAGGACCCTCCATCGCAGCACCAGCGACAGCTATCCTTGAGCCGGTCAAGGTTTCAAAGCAACTCGTCTATGATGTAATGTAACTCTAGCAATTAGTACCACCTTGTCCCTTTCTCCCATCCCTATCTGCGCGCTGTCTTTTTCTCCAACATCCCTCTTATCACGATCATGTGCTATCGACACAGCATATATGTTAGATGCACAGCACTGCAACTTCCGACGGCCTGGAGGGTCGTGGGCGTCCATCGTGTTATTCCGAATATACCTGTGAAGTGCTCTTAAAGTTAAACCTCGGAAACCAAGTCCACTGAACGCGTTTTTGAGATTTTTAGTGAAATATGTTTAAATATTCCGAAAACTGCTCATTCTAGAAAAAAGTTTCACACAAAAGTTTGAGGCTGTAAAGTGGTAGTGACATTGATAATGACCTTGACTACGACCTTCAAGGTCAAGTGAATATTTTTGAACGGAATTCCTCTTTTTTCCTCGAGGAGCAAATTTGACGTCCTAAAATCATCTTGGTGATGACCGTGAGTATTGCCTTCAAGGTCAAATCATGACATCGAGAACAAGTTGCTATTTGAATGCACAGTTGTGAGATTTGTGGGGATCAGACAAAGTTGACCTTTGCAATGACCTTCAAGGTCAAATCAAAATTTTGGAACGAAACCCCTCATTTTTATACTTAGAATGGAAAAAGCTGTATATTTTACTTCAGAAAGTGACCTTGAGCAAGGGAAAGTCATGTCAAGCTTAATTATTATTTGAGGTTAACGTCACATTTGGACGTAAAATTGCTGCTCATTCTATTTCCAGTAGAGGTTTCCTTTGGAAATGTTGATCTGACCTTGAAGGCCATGGTCAAAGTCAGTTTCTGGTGATCCTCAAAAACCTTACAACTTTGCCTTGGATTATTTTTGCTATAGCGAATTGTTTTTGATGTTCTAATTTGACCTTAAAATGACCTTGACGGTCATGGCCAAGGTAATTTTCAAACGTAAAATTTGCAGCTATTTCCAATTCCGATGTGAAAAAGGGGGGTTCTATTTGAAAATAATCACTGGACCCTGAAATGACCTTGGAGCTGGTAGTCAAGTTCTTTGTTATTAGCATCCACCATTTTTCAACCTCAAAACCTCCTACTTTCTTGAGAAACTTTTTTCTATAAAGCACAGTTTTCGCAATATTTAGGTGGGAATATTAAATGTGTATTGAAAAATTTTAGCTATTAATTTGTGTAATTTTTGATGTTCATTTTTTTAATTCCTTTTTCTATGTATACGATTTTTATTTTTTGGAAGTAATTTTAAACGCATTCTGCGATGGCCGATTGGATCGCCCTTTCATATCGTATACCTCTTAGCAAAGGTGATCTGAATGCTGACGCCAACCTTAAATTCAGTTCTGACTTTTTAGGGAAATTACGTCTCCAGCTACAAATTAGTTGGTTGTTTGTTTTTTTTCACCCCAAAGTTATATGAATATAAAGTCAAACCAAGTGATATAATCAAATGTATTTCTGTTAGATTGGAAGTGATTGCTTTCCGGTACCATCATTATATTTGCTGCTGTAAAAATAATATATATCACCTGGTACTTCCGTTGATCATCTTCATTTGTTTAAAAAGATTCTGACATATCCGCATCCCTAAAGGGTATTCAGACAATCCGGTAAACTGCATCATGCTTCATGGTTGTTGTTTCTGATGACTAGCAACAAAATATCATCACCGAAGCATTTTAGAACTCAATGAAGTGCTTTGATGAACTTTCCACACTTCTTATTTTACCAAGAAGTTGGCGGACAGCGGTCAGTATGTCAAATCGGTCAAATTATAAAAAATGTCAAACTGGCAAGTTGACATCTTAGGTTAGAAAATTCGCCTTAAGCATAGAAATTATTTGACTTCATCTGACTGTTGAAGTTCTGCTCAAGCTTTAAGCGTATCTGGTGCAACAAAACCGAGCTTGAGAATCTCAAAAATTCAATAAATGGACCCGGGTTTTCGCGTTTTTACGTCTAACACCGCTTCTCTCAGCGTGTGGTGAGCTCCCTTTTTCGCCCAACACCCAAAGATTTAACGTTTTTCTTTTTGTTAGGAAGTTGCTTTGTTGTGCAGTTTTCTGTATACTGTGCTATATGTGCCTACAACTAGTGACCAAAATCTAACTTAGAAGCATAAATGCTTTACAGAATCCACTGTATTGCTTTTTATCTCGAGATTTTATTTTTGTTTGACATTATTTTGAACGATCATGAGTTTTATGTTTTCTGTAGTAATCCTCCCCCAGACTGAACACCTACAACGTTTAATATCGATCTGAAGAACAAGACGCTAAGATAATAATTATATTATCAAACGCATTTTTAGCCACACGTTTCCAGCTTTGCTCAACTTTTGGACACGCTGTCAAGGTGACACGTCCTTTTTTAGATTTTTTTCAACTACCTGATTGCAGTCGCCTTTTCATGTGATTATTTCATGGTGTGTACATTATGTGATTAAAAAACAATGTTTCCATTTTTTTGTCAAAAAATGCATTTTTTCTTCAATCGGAACTTGTTAACAAATATAAGTACGCACAGCTCTGAAATTGTGTGTGAATATTCCTCTTTTATGGGCGAATGAAAGAAGTAATTACTTTTGTTCTTATCACTTTTCCTTTTCGAAAAATCTTTGATTTCCTTGAAGCCTCGTCTCGCAGCACGTTGAGTTTTCAAGTAAAGCAAACAGTTTTCGAAATGAAAAAGTGATAAGAATAGAAGTAATCACTTGTTTCATTCATCCATAAAAGTGGAATATCCATCTGCAATTTCAGAGCTGTATTAATATTCGTTAACAAGTTATGATCGAAGAAAAGATCCACAATAAAATGCACAAAAAATGCATTGTATGACAAAACTAAATGAAAAACGATCTTTTTAGTCATCTCTATACTCATCATGAAGTAATCAGGTTAAAAGGATTTAGAAAACTGTAAAAAAGCGAAAAAAAAAGGTCGTGCGGCTTTGAGTGTCAGGCTAGAATTGATTTCGAGAGAAAGGGATAAATTTAGTTTGTTTTTGTTTTGTAAGTGTTTTGTCTTTTGTCATTTTGTGTCTAGCTAATCAGCGAAACAAAACATAGCTTAGTTAATTTTGTTTGCAATAAACGAAAAATATTACAAGGCTTCACGAAAAAGTGCTGATTTTGCATTTTTATATCATTTTGACCATTTCAAGCTATGTATATTTCATCCCACCCTTTTTCTGCCACGTTTACTTTTGTACGAATATTAGCGCTGTCTGAGATACGAGGTTGAAAAAAAATCACTTACACTGTACTGAATATTTGACAGGTTTAAAATAATGAATTATTTTCGAATTGACCACTGAAAAATGTTGAATACTTAGAAGAAAGTCGGTAAATCATATAATAGCGCGAAGTGTATGCAAGTACCACACCTAAGAAATATCATAAGAGATTTCAAGAAAGTTCACAAGGATAAAACAAGACAGAAATTGAATACATCAAAATCTTGCATAGAAATAACACAGACGAGTGCAGGAAACTACAGCGTCTGAAACACTTAACGTCAGTGTCCATTTGACACAAATGGCCGTTGACATAAAGCTGTAAAGTGCTGTCGTTTTTTGCATTCGAACTTCTAATCTGTCGCTGTCACTGATTGCGTTCCACAGGGTTCTAAATTTCGATATAACTCGAATATTGGATATTCTTTCGCTCTAAGCTAGGCAATCGATGGATTTGGGACAAAGACTACTAGTAATACGTTGGCCATTCCGGCTGTGATTAAACAAATTTTCATTTTTTTATAGGTTAGGTATTTTAACGGACGTATCTGTTCCTGTTACGGCATCTGGCGGCAGACTTATTTCTGTTTATCTTATTTAATAATGCACGTTGGTCAGATTGAACACTTTTTATAAATTTACACGTAGTACTAGATGTTGTATAATATAAAATTATTATTGACGTATTTTATTTAATTGAATATGGGTTCAAATATTATGAAATAATCAGAGAATCAAGATAAGAAGGCAGTAAGGCAAAGCGGTGTTAGGCTCAAATTTGATACCCAGCCAGACAAACCAATGGTTCAAATGCAGCTTATATCAACGTTCGTTAATAGGAAAATACGTTGAACTAAGGTTGCATACCGCCACACAGTAATCCAGCTCCCTGATTCCAAATGAATTTCGACTGTTGAAATTAGTTTCCCGTCATACATATAACCTACTGTGATAACGCTTGCTTTCAGCGATCTTTTATAGCCGATTTATCATGGCAGTGTCAAAGTTATTAAAGATCTAATATGTGAGACACGAAGATGGTTCATCCTGCCAGTACGGATGAGCTAAATCCGTTTCCGATCGTGGTACACTTCACCGTTATCAATGGAATTTTTTTGCTGAGATCACAGTAAAAATTATTCCAAATGTACCTTTGAAGTAGAATTATGCGTATCTTCGTCAGCACCCTGTATACAGGGTGACTTTGAAGTTGAGTCATTAATTTTCAGATAGTGATTGTAGAAGGAAGATAAACCAAAATATGTGTGTAAAAATAAAAAAAAATGTTACCTTGTTTTATAAAGTATCCTCCCGACAAGTATTTCAGTGAGGACCTGTATTTGATCGTGCGGTCTTGGAGCACCGGCATCCCCTGTGAGGTCTTAAGTCACCTGATTCACGAGCCCTTTGTACTACATTAACAAAGGCACGAGGGGTTGGTTGCACTCGATTGGCAAACCGATTTTGTAAAGACTACGTTGTCGCCAAACACGAGCACACATAATATTATTATTGAGACAGGGCGGTACTCAAACTTCTAAAGGGCTATAACTTTGTTACTTTAATTTTACCAGAAAAATGTTAAAGGAAAAAAACATTTCTTTTGATCAGATCTACTCACTGTTAAAATAAATGACTCAACTTCGAAGTCACCCTGTATAGGTAAATCTTGTTTAATGACTTTTTCCATTAACGACCTTTGACATTTGAACCATCTGTTTATCGGGCTAGTTAAGTTTAGTCGAACCTGTGACTATGGTTTTTGCGCTATGTAAAATTCCTTGTTCCTTATTGAAAAAACAACTGAAATTACTTTGAGTTACTCAAAATCCCTGAAATTTAATTTCAATGTATTTATTTTTGCTGTTTCACAATTTTTATTTATTTTCTTACATTTCAACGATGGTTGTTTGGTCACTAGGAGTATGTGCCAAATAAATACATACTCTTAAACTTAGAGATGTGCTTGCTTTAATTCGTATTTAAGTATGATGATTATTATTTTTATCACAATTTATGCTGATGATGACGTCGAGTTGTTTTATTTTGACCACGCTGCTCTGCCATCTGGTGTAGAGTTAGATAATGTTAGTATCAGTGTAACTCGAAAGGAGATTGGCGACACCCCCGTTTTTGAAAGGGTACGGATCTGGATGATAAGGTTTGCTAACAAAAATTTGGAAAATTGAATGCCTGATTGATCATCCTGGAACGCGTGACACAACAGGAGTCAGACAATTTGTTTGGAGGACAATTAGTATTGTAAATTACATTTATTTGCTTAGCTAGAGAGTTGCCAATTATGTGATTGTAGGTTCAACGACAAACGTGGTATTTTCAATCTGAAGCCTTCATATTGTATAATGTACTACTCACTCTAATTATTGGTCTCTGTTGATCATTGGCTTAAGGGCCGTTCCTACAATTGTAGGATGGCTGTATGACCTTGATTTCCATAGTATTTTCTCTCCTTCAGAAAGGCTAGGGTATTTATAGACTTCTACTGTTCCGTGTCAGCGTCAGCGCCCTCCTAATTATGATTTGTATTTTTATTTATCTTGTATTTTTGAATTGCTCAGTCTGTTAAAACATGATGAAAATCAAACACATGAACAATTTGGTGTAAATAGATATTTGTAACATACAGCGCCTTTCTGAAGGACAGGCAGCAGCGGTGGCCGCAGTAGTAGGCTCTTCGGTCTCCTGATCAGTCGCCGTGCGCTGTGCGGGTTCGAGTCTCGTCCCAGGAGAAATTTTTCTCTTGGCTATGGATGTTGTGATTGTCCGTAGGTGGTAGACGGTCTCTGACTGTCGAACGCGGAGGTACCACCCGGCGGATCTCGTAGGCGGAGCCAGAATGTGTGCATGTTGCATGCACACGTGTTCCCTCGCCAGAGTCCGTGTGGCGTTCCCCCTTTCCCATGTATCCCCCTATAGCCCCACGGTACCCAATGGGTGCTTAGGCCTTAGGCCTTCGTGGTAGTTGAAGTTCAAACAAAAAAAAAAGGAAAAACTGAAAATCAAGTAGACCATAAAGACGTCCTACAATTAATTGTAGGAACGACTGGCGATATGATCCAAAATGTCAAATAAGGTCAACGTATGTATACGTGATATTTTGGTTGCCGAAACTGAATTTTCTATCAAGAGTCAAGTTATCTATTATCGACAGACAGCTTGAGAACAAAAACATTAAGTATTTGGGTTAATGTCTGACGGTGTTATTGAATCAAATCGGGTTCATTTGCTTACAAAATGTATCAATTTTAGAATATCATTTAATAGCATTTACATGGACAATCGAATCGATAAGGCAATCAATTTGATTAACTTATAATTTGGAGGAAGCATGATTAAACAATTTGTATGAATCATAATTTTCAATGTGTTTCAAATGGTAGCATTTTTTTGACAGTTTGTTGTTAAGGTGATATTTTACAAAACTATTGAATCATTTGACATTTACGCGTTATTGGATCGAAAGCTGTTTTAATGATTACTTTATTTTCTTTTATATAAATTTAATAATCTACAATATTACTTTAAATTCTATCTAATAACTCACACATATATAGTAGATAAAAAAATAAATGCACAGGTCAACTAAAATCGAAAAATCTCATTCCTCGTCCAACTCTGTTCAGAATTTAGGAAACCCACGACAATGTTTTCAACATATTTTATTTCACTTTTTATCCGGTTGTCAGATCGGTGGACATCGAGCTTAGTACGGATCTTAGATTATAATGAAATAAGGAAGCGTTGTAATCAACGACTCTCGAAGGCAATAAGGAGGCCTTAGATTGAAAAAGGTCGTTCTTTCTTGATATTAATATTTAACATCTTTTCTGTGACTCCTGTGTGTCAAGTCTGTCGAAGTCGCTACAAAACATGTAGTCGTACCAGAATGAAACGTTGAAAACAATACAATACAAACAATAATTTTCGCTGGCGAATTGAACCTTCAGATCCTATCAGTTTTGCCAATCTTCTTTATCATTGCAATGAAGAACACCTCACATTATTGATTTTTCCTGATGTTCGGTTACATTATATTTATTGCTAAATCCGTATGATGTGCTTTAAGGTAACTGCTTCGTTAGAGTGATATGATAAATGCTGTAGAAAATAAAAAATCTTAGGCATTCCAGAGACATGTGGTTACTCGTTTTGATCGTGCATTGAACTGAATGATGAAGTTTTTGTTTCAAAAATAGCTAATTTTGTGAGATATTCTTCATGTTGCACTTAATACATCGTAAAAAATAAAACACTTGGATTCACTGATAATATATAACTTTAAGTTTATGCGTAAGCACTTCTGTTTTGAATAGAATAAAACTGAGCATAGCCGTGTGTGAGTCTATGCTCTGCATTTCGGGAACGTTCTGTAAGTACTTGCAAATTTTGAACAAAATGTTTGGTAATTACGAAATATTCGCAGTCAGACTGTGTGAAGCGACGTACTAAGTGGTTTAACTTAGCCCTGTTATTTATGTATATATTAAGCATTGTATAGACTGGATGATAAATAAACTTATGTTGACACTACAAATCTGTGTTTTTGTCGTTCCACCACTTCTGTCAAGACGAGATAAATTCCTTCTCAAATTGGGTGGAGGTATGGAAGACGCAGTCTGCTCCTATTATTTATCAAAAAGGGTGGAACACGCAATTACTAATATAAACTCATCTTGTTATCTCTGCGATTGTGATACGAAATTTTTAGTGGCTGAAAATTGTTTATCAGGCCACAGTTCTTCTCAAAGTCTAATAACTGCGTGGACAAAATTTGCTATCGAGATAGCAGAAACGCGAGGAGGTAGGGAAGATGGTATGCTCCTTATTCCAAAAATTGTGAAATTCTAGTTTCGGAAATGAATACCTCTTAATGTGTCTGCAATCCTAATACAGAATTTTTAGTGGCTGAAAATTCAAATTACCGATGTAAATACCTCTCACTGTCTCTGCGATCCTAATACAAAGGGTTTAGTCGCTGAGAATTGTTCATCACTTCACAACTCTGCTAAAAGCAACCTAACTGTGTGGACAAATTTTGCTATCAGGATAACAGAAACGCGAAGAGGTATGGACCACGTAGTATGCTCCGAATACTAAAAAAGCGGGAAATTCAAATTACCGGTTTAAATACCTCTGGCTGTCTCTGCGATCCTAATCCAAAGGGTTTAGTCGCTGAAAATTGTTCATCACGTCAGAACTCTGGTTAAAGCATCCTAACTCAGTGGATAAAATTTCCTATCAGGATAACAGAAACGCGAGGAGGTATGTAAGTCGTAGTTTGCTCCGGATACTAAAAAAGGCGGGTATTTCAAATTACCGATATAAATACCTCTCGCCTTCTCTGCGATCCTGATACAAATGGTTTAGTCGCTGAAAACTGTTCATCACGTCAGAACTCTGATAAAAGGTATCCTAACTCACTGGACAAAATTTGCTATCAGGATAACAGAAACGCGAGGAGGTATGGAAGGCGTAGTTTGCTCCGCCTACTAAAAAGGCGGGAACTTCAAATTGCCGCTTTAAATACCTCTGGCTGTCTCTGCGATCCTAATCCAAAGGGTTTAGTCTCTGAAAATTGTTAATCACGTCAGAACTCTGGTTAAAGCATCCTAACTCAGTGGATAAAATTTCCTATCAGGATAACAGAAACGCGAGGAGGTATGTAAGTCGTACTTTGCTCCGGGTACTAAAAAAGGCGGGTAATTCAAATTACCGATATAAATACCTCTCGCTTTCTCTGCGATCCTGATACAAAGGGTTTAGTCGCTGGAAACTGTTCATCACGTCAGGACTCTGATCAAAGCATTCTACCTGCGTGGTGAAAATTTGCTATCCGGATAACAGAAACGCGAGGAGGTATGGAAGACGTAGTATGCTCCGTATACAAAAAAGGCGGGAAATTCAAATTATCGATATAAATACTCTCGCTGTCTCTGCGATCCTGATACTAAAACAGGCGGGAAATTCAAATTACCGGTATAAATACCCCTCGCTGCCTCTGCGATCCTGATACAAGGGGTTTTATCGCTGACAATTGTTCATCACTTCACAACTCTGCTAAAAGCAACCTAACTATGTGGACAAATTATGCTATCAGGATAACAGAAACGCGAAGAGGTATGGAACACGTAGTATGCTCAGAGTACTAAAAAGGCGGGAAATTCAAATTACCGGTTTAAATACCTCTGGCTGTCTCTGCGATCCTAATCCAAAGGGTTTAGTCGCTGAAAATTGTTCATCAGGTCAGAACTCTGCTCAAAGCGTCCTAACTCAGTGGACAAAATTTGCTATCAGGATAACAGAAACGCGAGGAGGTATGTAAGATGTAGTTTGCCCCGGATACTAAAAAAGGCGGGAAACTCAAATTACCGGTTTAAATACCTCTGGCTGTCTCTGCGATCCTAATCCAAAGGGTTTAGTCGCTGAAAATTGTTCATCACGTCAAAACTCTGATCAAAGCATCCTAACTCAGTGGACAAAATTTGCTATCAGGATAACAGAAATGCGAGGAGGTATGGAAGACGTAGTTTGCTCCGAATACTAAAAAAGGCGGAAAATTCAAATTACTGATATAAATACTCCCGCTGTCTCTGCGATCCTGATACAAAGGGTTCAGTCGCTGAGAATTGTTCATCACTTCGCAACTCTGCTAAAAGCAACCTGTGTGGACAAATTTTGATATCAGGCTAACAGAAAAGAGAAGAGGTATGGAACACGTAGTATGCTCCGACTACTAAAAAGGCGGGAACTTCAAATTGCCGGTTTAAATACCTCTGGCTGTCTCTGCAATCCTAATCAAAAGGGTTCAGTGGCTGAAAATTGTTCATCACGTCAGAACTCTGCTCAAAGCATTCTAAGTGCGTGGTGAAAATTTGCTATCCGGATAACAGAAACGCGAGGAGGTATGGAAGACGTAGTATGCTCCGTATACAAAAAAGGCGGGAAATTCAAATTATCGATATAAATACTCTCGCTGTCTCTGCGATCCTGATACTAAAACAGGCGGGAAATTCAAATTACCGGTATAAATACCCCTCGCTGCCTCTGCGATCCTGATACAAGGGGTTTTATCGCTGACAATTGTTCATCACTTCACAACTCTGCTAAAAGCAACCTAACTATGTGGACAAATTATGCTATCAGGATAACAGAAACGCGAAGAGGTATGGAACACGTAGTATGCTCAGAGTACTAAAAAGGCGGGAAATTCAAATTACCGGTTTAAATACCTCTGGCTGTCTCTGCGATCCTAATCCAAAGGGTTTAGTCGCTGAAAATTGTTCATCAGGTCAGAACTCTGCTCAAAGCGTCCTAACTCAGTGGACAAAATTTGCTATCAGGATAACAGAAACGCGAGGAGGTATGTAAGATGTAGTTTGCCCCGGATACTAAAAAAGGCGGGAAACTCAAATTACCGGTTTTAAATACCTCTGGCTGTCTCTGCGATCCTAATCCAAAGGGTTTAGTCGCTGAAAATTGTTCATCACGTCAAAACTCTGATCAAAGCATCCTAACTCAGTGGACAAAATTTGCTATCAGGATAACAGAAATGCGAGGAGGTATGGAAGACGTAGTTTGCTCCGAATACTAAAAAAGGCGGAAAATTCAAATTACTGATATAAATACTCCCGCTGTCTCTGCGATCCTGATACAAAGGGTTCAGTCGCTGAGAATTGTTCATCACTTCGCAACTCTGCTAAAAGCAACCTGTGTGGACAAATTTTGATATCAGGCTAACAGAAAAGAGAAGAGGTATGGAACACGTAGTATGCTCCGACTACTAAAAAGGCGGGAACTTCAAATTGCCGGTTTAAATACCTCTGGCTGTCTCTGCAATCCTAATCAAAAGGGTTCAGTGGCTGAAAATTGTTCATCACGTCAGAACTCTGCTCAAAGCATTCTAAGTGCGTGGTGAAAATTTGCTATCCGGATAACAGAAACGCGAGGAGGTATGGAAGACGTAGTATGCTCCGGATTCTAAAAAAGGCGGGTAATTCAAATTACCGATATATATACCTCTCGCTTTCTCTGCCATCCTGATACAAAGGGTTTAGTCGCTGAACACTGTTCATCACGTCAGAACTCTGATCAAAGCAACCTAACTCAGTGGACAAAATTTGCTATCAGGATAACAGAAATGAGAGGAGGTATGGAAGACGTAGTTTGCTCCGAATACTAAAAAAGGCGGGAAATTCAAATTACTGATATAAATACCTCTCGCTGTCTCTGCGATCCTGATACAAAGGGTTCAGTCGTGAAAATTGTTCATCACGTCAGAACTCTGCTCAAAGCATTCTAACTGCGTGGTGAAAATTTGCTATCCGGATAACAGAAACGCGAGAAGGTATGGAAGACGTAGTATGCTCCGTATACTAAACAAGGCGGGAAATTCAAATTATCGATATAAATGCTCTCGCTGTCTCTGCGATCCTGATACTAAAACAGGCGGGAAATTCAAATTACCGGTAAAAATACCCCTCGCTGCCTCTGCGATCCTGATACAAGGGGTTTTATCGCTGACAATTGTTCATCACTTCACAACTCTGCTAAAAGCAACCTAACTATGTGGACAAAATTTCCTATCAGGATAACAGAAACGCGAGGAGGTATGGAAGACATAGTTTGCTTCGCATACTAAAAATGCGGGAAATTCAAATTACCGGCTTAAATACCTCTGGCTGTCTCTGCGATCCTAATCCAAAGGGTTTAGTCGCTGAAAATTGTTCATCAGGTCAGAACTCTGCTCAAAGCATCCTAACTCAGTGGACAAAATTTGCTATCAGGATAACAGAAATGCGAGGAGGTATGGAAGACGTAGTTTGCTCCGAATACTAAAAAAGGCGGGAAATTCAAATTACTGATATAAATACCTCTCGCTGTCTCTGCGATCCTGATACAAAGGGTTCAGTCGCTGAGAATTGTTCATCACTTCGCAACTCTGCTAAAAGCAACCTGTGTGGACAAATTTTGCTATCAGGCTAACAGAAAGGAGAAGAGGTATGGAACACGTAGTATGCTCAGAATACTAAAAAGGCGGGAAATTCAAATTACCGGTTTAAATACTTCTCTAATCCAAAGGGTTTAGTTGCTGAAAATTGTTCATCACGTCAGAACTCTGATCAAAGCATCCTAACTCAGTGGACAAAATTTTGCTATCAGGATAACAGAAACGCGAGGAGGTATGTAAGACGTAGTTTGCTCCGGATACTAAAAAAGGCGGGAAATTCAAATTACCGGTTTAAATACCTCTGTCTGTCTCTGCGATCCTAATCCAAAGGGTATAATCGCTGAAAATTGTTCACCACGTCAGAATTCTGCTTAAAGCATCCTAACTCAGTGGACAAGATTTCCTATCAGGATAACAGAAACGCGAGGAGGTATGGAAGGCGTAGTTTGCTCCGACTACTAAAAAGGCGGGAACTTCAAATTGCCGCTTTAAATACCTCTGGCTGTCTCTGCAATCCTAATCAAAAGGGTTCAGTGGCTGAAAATTGTTCATCACGTCAGAACTCCGGTTAAAGCATCCTAACTAAG